CTATATAGCTATCCAAATAATATTTTTTATGTGTTTTCTAAAAGTAAGTAAGTTTTTACATTGAGTAATTTCATCATTCATGTCATTCCATAAGATAGGTCCGAACACTGTAGGATGATGGAAAATATTTACAATAGAAAGTGGGAGTTAACCGTTTGTATGTTGAAACATAAAAGCGGCTACTTGGATTTTATGGATATCTGTGATCTTTAAAATACCTAGTTTAGTTTCTTAAACAAAGGTTCAGAATGAGATGACAAGGATGCCAAGCAAATAAATCTAACAGCCCTTTTTTGTAGCTTAATTAATCTATTTAAATTTGAAAAGTAATCACTGGCCCATATTAAATTACAATATTGTAAATAAGGAAGAACAAGGGAATTGTACAATGTAACTAAAATATGACGAAGAAAGAAATGTTCACCAATCGATTTTGATACCTTATTTGATGTATAATTCTGATGAGTTTTCCAACTTAAATTCCTACTAATGATCACTCTCAAAAATAAAGATTCAGATTTACGTTCAATATTATTTCCATTTAAAGAAATATCAAAATTATAAAGATTGATTTTTTTTTTTTTTTTTTTTTTTTTTTTTTCCCTGGGGAATGGATGAAACAAAATATAATTGGTCTTTTGAGTATTAATCAAAAGTTTATTTGCAAGGAACCAATAATTAAGTTTATCTAATTCTTCATTAACGGTATTGAACAAAGTATTGTGATTTGAGTAAAACAAAATAGTATCGTCAGGGTGTCGCTAACTTGAGTTAAATCATTTACGTACCGTATATCAGGAAGAGTAATGGTCCTAAAACCGCATCCTTGTGGCCGGCACCCCACAAATTAAGTCCTTCAATGTGCAGAGCCGAACTGAAACAAATTGTTTCCGGTCACTTAAATAATTTTTAAACCATTCAAAGCAACACCTCTAACACCATAACAGAAAAGTTTGGAAAGTAATATATCATGTTCAACAACATCAAATAAATAAAACAGAGGAACCAACGGATCTCAGCACATCTTCTAGCCTTAGTAAATTTGAAAACTGGGTTTTCGGCAAAGTGGGTTAAATTCGGCAACCGGGTTTCGGCAAACTAGATTTCGACCAACTGGGATGATACCGAAATGATGGGCACCTATCTTGGCCTATAGGCCTACTTGATTCTCCTGACGCAAATCCAGTTATTGTTTATTCCATCACCACAATAACTGACTATCAGAAATAGATTAACTCAAAAATTTTACAAAGTAAAGTTTCAAATGCTGTAATGACAATAGAAAAAAAGCAAGGTTGAAGTAATTTGGACATTTTTAAAATCAAATGCCCTGGCTACCTTGAGCCTACTCATATTACTAATATTTGGCTTTACGTACGTTATTTCATCTTGCAGACACGCCAAGAGTGCGCGCAAGACCGGCCACGGCTGGTTATTTCCAGACCCATTATGTAAG